TGGAAGCTTTGCCCATTCTCAGGTTTTGGCCCTGGCCCATTATGAAGGTGGGGATGCCTGGGACTGTGTGAACATGGGCCGTGGGAGTTTGTTGACTACCACGGTAGTGAGAATAGTGCTGATGATGGCTGACTGAGGACAATGTACAGATGAGCGCAGCCCCCCTGCTCTCGGCATTATTGCTCCTTGCTCCCCGGTCACTGCTCCCCAGCCTGGGAGTGCACCCCTCTGGCATGGTTTGCCTGCCCCTCTCCAAGCAGGTTGCTTTTCTAGTTCATGGGTAAATATTGACCTACTTGGGTTTCAGATGCCTGCCCCTCGAAACTCCTGCTGGGCTGGATAAACACACTGGGATGACATCCCTTGAAAATAAGAGTTGCTTTTGGATGAGCTATAATGCGATTGACCCACTCACTGAGTCCTTGTAATGGTCAGCACTGTGCTGGCCCCCCTGGGCCACCGGGATGGGAGCAGACAAAGGTAGTCCCTTCCTCTGGGGCTTGTGGTCCAGTTGGGGAGATAGGACTCATATACTGGGAATGCTTGCAGGCTGTGTGCAAGGCAGCTGCAAGGATCCTGAATGTGAATTCTTGCCTGAGTAGGAGTGGCCCTCTGTGACCACCAGATCTTTCCCCTTTCTCTGGTTTTAAGTGGAATTCAGTCAAGTGCCAAAATGTCTGTTGCAGACAATGGGCAATGTGGTCTGGCAGGAAAAGGAGCTTGGCCAGTGCTCTGTGGGGAGGAGATGAGAACAGGGATGGGCTGCAGCGGACTAGGCTGGGAGGAGGGAGCTGCTGTGGTTTGTGAATCTGCTGGGATTCAGCTGCTCGTCCCTGGACCTGCTCCTGGACTTCCAGCTCTTACTGGGGCCTCCTGCCTTGGGTCTCTCTCAGTTGCCTGTGTCCAAAGCCCAGTCCCTTTCTTGCTTGTGACACACGCTCTCTTCTCCCCTGTTCTCTCAGCACTCCCCACCCCTCCCACGCTTGGACCCTGCGCCTCCCTTCTTAGTCCTCTGAAATGAGCTGGGTTCTTTTGTCAGGTGTGGTTGCTGCTAAAGCTGAGAGGTCTAAGAGTTGGTCTCATCTCTGTGAGTTGGACCCCAGGGAAGATCCTGGGTAGCTGGAAGGCTGAGGCCAGAGGCCAAGGAGGCTGAGGTTTCCAGGCAGACAGGGAATCAATTTTGAGCACTGATGTGGGAGTAGGGTCATGTCAGGAGGCAGAACTGGCCTGACCAGTCAGAAGGAGGTCTGATCTTTTCAGTTGGTTTCTGTGTGTCTGTGGGGTTAGGCAGAGGTTATGATGCGTGGTGGTCCAAAGCCCAGGGTAGAAGTCATCCTAGAGCAGGTGAGGAAAGTATCTGCTTTGTGGGGCAGGGGTGGGGTGAGATCCTGGGAAGTTTCCATCCGGGGGCATCTTAGAGGAAACTGAGATGCTGTAGCCAAGGCTGACCTAGGACCTGCCTTGATGGGCACAGAGAGGAATCTGTGAGATCAGAGGCATGCCACACACACTCAGGAGACCAGTCCTTCACTCTATACATATCATACCCTTACCTGAAAGATGCTATTCGCCCTACCCATACACGCCCCCCCCACACACAGCAGGGACAAGGAGACCTCTAGGTCTCAGGATCAGATGAGGGCCGGCTGGGGGCCTCATGTGGTTCTGACCTTGGGCTTGGTGCCCAGGCAGGGACAGAGTTGGAACGGTGCCAGCGGCAGGCGGATGAAGTGACAGAAATCATGCTCAACAACTTTGACAAGGTCCTGGAGCGCGATGGGAAACTGGCGGAACTGGAGCAGCGTTCAGACCAACTGCTGGACATGGTGTGAGGCCTGGGGAAGCAGGGATGGGGTGGGAGAGGCCAGGGGGAGTCCTCAGAGAGAGTTCTCAGGCTGTGCTCAGGGTCTCCAGGCCCTTGGTGGGGCCTGAGGCTTGCCTGAGGGCCAGTGTGGGACCTATGGGTTTGTAGCCTAGATTAGCTCCAGATAGGCCTCATGAAGTCAAAAGTCCTTGGTTTGAAGCCGTGGACCTTCCTGAAGGTTGAGGGCTGGTATTGTTAACTGGGCGTGAGCCTGTAGGGGTGCGAGTCCAGGGCTACACGGTGTCTGAGACCAGGAGTCAGGTTGGGAGGGTCCCAGGGTGGGCGATGTGGAGAAGGGGAGCAGAGAGGCTGGGAAGATACAAATTAGGCCTTGCTGGGGTCGGGGGGCGGTGGGGGGTTGGGAGAACCTGGCCCTGGGGTTCCGGGGAAACCACTAACTCCCACCCTGTGTCTGGGGATGTTCACAGAGCTCAGCCTTCAGCAAGACAACCAAGACCCTGGCCCAGAAGAAGCGCTGGGAGAACATTCGTTGCCGGATCTGCTTGGGGCTGGTGGTGGGCGGTGGCCTGCTCGTCCTCCTGATTGTGCTGCTGGCCATCTTTCTCCCACAGGGCAGTGGGGGCAGCAGTGCCCCACAGGCCCAGGACGCAGGCGTTGCCTCAGGGCCTGGGGACTGACCCAGCCGGGCCTGGAGGAGAGGCCGCGTGGCCGCACTGGCTGGTCCTGGTCTCCAGAGAACCCTGGCGTTTGCTCCCATCTGAGCCACCCAACTGAGCACTGAAGAGCAACCCTGATATGTGCACCTTTGCATCGCCTACCACGCCACAGACTGGCCCTTGCGGGCAGCCTGCTGCACTGGCCACTGCCAGGCCGGCCCCACTTGGAGCTCAGTAAAAGCTGCTGTTTGGTTAAAAGTTGCTGCTTGGTTAAAAGCTGGTGTGTGTGTGTGTGTGTATGTGTGTGTATGTGTGTGTGTGTGTGTGAGTGTGAAGCTCTCCATGTTGGTTCATCCTGCTCTGCCTCCACTCTTGGGGTTGCTTAAAAAGTCGGTAGAAGGACTTCACCCCTGGGAGGTGGCCCCTTTCCTTTTCCTTCTGTACTTGATCCAACCCTACCCAGACAGATCCTTCTGGAGTGCAGGTGCAAAGACAGAGTGGCTCCCAAACCAGACCCTTCACAACCAGGGCCCTCTGAGCCTGTTTCCTTCAGAATGAACTCTATTCTTTTTCTGATGTCTTGAGGATGCTCAGAATAGAACTCCAGAAGAGGAAAGCACCTCAAAGGTTTTTTATCTCACAAGGCTCTCACTTAAAAAAAAAAAAAGATTTTAGGGGCGCCTGGGTGGCTCAGTTGGTTGGGCGACTGCCTTCGGCTCAGGTCATGGTCCCGGAGTCCCGGGATCCTGGGATCATGACCTGAGCTGAAGGCAGTTGATTAAATAACTGAGCAACCCAGCCCCCCCCCGCTAAGCCTCTCATTTTTTAATAGACTTTTCCCTCTCTGAACACTCCGTCCTCAATTTCTCTCCTACATTCTTCCTCAAGCTTTACACCTGATTACAGATGGGGCCAATAGCAGTGAACATGGGAAGGGCTTCTCCCGTGCTGTAACGCACCATCACAAAGGATAGCCTAGAGTTTGCCCTGTAGGCAAGAACTTGGCCTTTTCAAAGCTCCAGGGCCACACAGGGCTAAGCTGGCAGGGCCTCAGGGTCACAGGAAAGATGACTGGGTAAAAGGCCATGGAAGAAAGAAAGACTGCGGGATCTGGGCAGTCTCTGCCTGGGCTATTTGACTGCACCTCAAAGTCAAGTGTGGGTGGAAGGGGAATTCAGAGTCAAGTGTGTAACAACAGAAGCAGTTCCTTGTTAGGTAAAGTGAGGGCTTCTGACAGAGAAACAAGAACAAAGCTGAGAGCTGTGTGGAGCTTTACCTCTCAACAGAACTTGCTACTTCCACGGGGCTCATTACCATCTTCTTTTCGGAAAGATGGGGGAAAACACTTGGCCCTGTAGTTGGTCAGCAACACCACTTAAAGGCCATGTGAATTTGGGCAAGCCACTTCTGAGGCTTGGGTTTTACATATGTAAAAAGGGACATACTTAACTCCCAGAACAATTGTGAGGATTACTTATGTTGTGTGTAAAACATCTGTCAATGTAATGGTTCTAGATGCCAAATAAATGATAGCTATCATCCAAATCATTTAGTGCAGTTCTCAACCCTGCCTCACATTAGAATCACCTGCAGAACTTCTAAAAATACTACCCCTAGTCCTAGATCAGTGAGTACCAGAGCTAAGATTTAAATCCAAGTCTGTGGGATGTCTGGGCACCATCCATTAGCCACTGGCCTACACAGCTTCCTTATGGGGCCTAAATCAGTTAAATCAGACTCTTTGAGGGTAAGTATCTGACGCAGGGTTATTTCCCCCTAAAGCTGCAACCCCTCGTTCTCTCTCCAGGATAGTCATGGGTAGCCAGGGAGGCAAACCGCTTATTGAATTCAAGCCACTGATTTCACAGAAGCTCGGGGAGAGGCTGTGCAAGGGGCTGAAGGTCACACACATAGTCCCATGTGAGGGTAAGGCCCCAGATTCCCCAGCAGGGCTCTTCCCTCCCTCGGTGGGGGAGTTTTGCCCCACCCTTTATTGTGCCTAACACAGAAGAGATAAGTAGGAAATTTTTGTTTTGCGGGTCAGAGGGGAATCAAGAGCCAACTCCTGAACCACTTAGAGAGCAGCGGGTGCAGAAGTACCCGGCGGGGACCGGGCGGAGCAGCGGGAAACGCCGTGATTCCAGGTTGGCAGTACCCTGAGCCCCTGCGCCAGCGCCTCGCTCTCTGGAGGGCCTCTAGCATCTGCACGTCCTAGGCCCTCTGAGCCGCAGAACGGACTGACACGACCCCTACAGCCCCGACATCTGGCTTTCCAGGGCGCTGTGGACGCGAAGCACACGTCACTCCCAGACCGCCTACCCTAGGTTCGGAGTCCAAAACAGATGTTTTCTGACCGGCCCTGGCCCCTGCCATTGGCTTTAGCCTTTGGTCACCTGATCTACTCGAGCCACGAGAGGCAGCAGAATTAATACTTCCGCTTTCAGTGCCCCTAACGAGCCTCTGTGCCCGCCTTTTGGATGCTCTGATTGGTCTTCCTCTCTCAGGCCCGCAGCTTATTGGCCAGCTCCGCGGGGCCGCAGTCTAGTGGGGTGCGAAGGCTGTGTCAGACAGCCCGGCTGCCATGGCGTCCTATTTCGATGAGCACGATTGCGAGCCGTTGGATTCCGAGCAGGAGGCCCGAACCAATATGCTGTTGGAGCTCGCAAGGTGGGTGCGCGGTGCTGGGAGGTGGGGGCCCAGGTATCAGGTTTCTGGGCTGGGGCTGGCTGGAGAGGGCGGATTATATGGGGCAGAGATTCTGGGGAGGACGGATGAATAATCTGGAGAGTTAGTCCGGAGACGAGATTCGAGGAAGGTCGATAATTTGGATCATCCGTGGTTGGGCCGGGCAAGGGGATTGTGGGAAAGGCTGGAGCTGGCGAATAGGGGGGAGTCAGGAGCGGGACGGTAGCCGGTTCTAGCAGCTACGGGAGAAGACGGGTCATGGGGTCAGGAGAGAGGCCTTGTGGGTGTGAGTAGGTACATTCGTTAGGAACAAGCACGGAAGTCCAGACTGCCGCTTGGAATCTGGCTTTACCGGGTCATTTCCACTTGGCCTGAGTAACTTTTCTGAGCCTGTTGCCTCATGTGTAAAATGGGACTAAACAGCTTGCATGCTTGGGGTTGTCTTATAGCAACTCCAAACCATTTCCCACTGTGCTTTTGATCTACTGAGCACTTTTGTGGGGTAGCTGTTAGTACTAGCTGTTCAGGGTATTTATCTGTTAATGCCTAGTGGATTGTGGGGGCAAAGAGAAAGGATGGTTTTCTTTGGTTCTGAACATGCGTCATTCTTCCCAGGTCACTTTTCAATAGGATGGACTTTGAAGACTTGGGGTTGGTAGTAGATTGGGATCACCACCTGCCTCCACCTGCTGCCAAGGCTGTGGTTGAGAACCTTCCCAGGACAGTCATCAGGGGCTCTCAGGCTGGTAAGAACACTAATTCTTACTGCTGTTTGGCGCAGGCGTGCCAGACCCACCCCCTCCCAAGCTAGACTGGTCTAGCCCTTCAGTTTTCCAGGTCAGGTTGGGGCAAGAATGTTCTTCAGGAGTGGGAGCCGGGAGGTAGGGCCTGTAGCAGCTCTCCTGATCAGCACTCCCTCCTAAAGAGCTCAAGTGCCCCGTGTGTCTTTTGGAATTTGAGGAGGAGGAGACTGCCATTGAGATGCCTTGCCATCACCTCTTCCATTCCAACTGCATTCTACCCTGGCTAAGCAAGGTACTGCTTCCTTTCTCTCAGCCCTCACCCTGCCCTGGGCCCAGTTTTCAAGCCTCTTTCTGTTTATGGACTTTTAGGGGATCAGAGAAGGGAGAGGGGTAGGGGTGGGAACTGGGAGCAGGGGATGGATATTCGCTGATGAAGACCAGACCTGGGCTGGAACACTGCCCTCCTTTTCTCAGACAAATTCCTGTCCCCTGTGCCGCCATGAGCTGCCCACTGATGACGACACTTATGAGGAGCACAGACGAGATAAGGTAGGGGCTGGTGGTAAGTGGAGAGGTCGGGTGGTAATGGGGACCCCCCAGTCCCTGTCCTCAGTGTTCTCATTCCCTACCTTAGTAGCCCTGGGTCGGCCTCAGGGTCCCTGGCTCTGGTTGTCTTCCTGGTGACTTTGGCAAGGGACAAGAGCCTTGGCAATGTATATGCTAGGGGCCTGAACACAGTGATCGGCAGCCCCATGATAGCTGTCCCATTGCTCCACCCACAGGCCTTCAGGTATGGCCCATGCCCAGTGTGCCCTCTTTCCTTCAGGCTCGCAAGCAGCAGCAAAAGCACCGACTTGAGAACCTCCATGGAGCCATGTACACATGAGGTGCCTGGGGCGGAGCACCTGTCTGCCACAGCATCTTCCTCTTGCACCTGAATCCTCATTAAAGATTTCTTTACCCACCCTGCACTGCATTGCTCACAGGCCTGGGCAGAGTCTCTGCACCCTGCATAAGGTCCCTACTGCTACTGGGGAAGAGAGGCCTGAACCACAGAAAGCACCAGGCTGTGTGTCCCTTCCTGCCAAGCCTACTGGCCCGAGAGCAGTGGAACCCAGGTCAAGAACCTGGCCACTAGACCAGCCAGTGCTTGGGCCTACGTGCTCATCATTGGAAAGCAAAATGGGTCAGGGTCTGGCATCCAATGGCGACTTACAGATGGTAAAGAAAAATCAGCCTACATCTCTCTCTCCTGCAATTTTTAGTCAACCTTGGAATCCCACAGGCTTTCTTTAGCTTCATTGTGAAAATTGCTTCTAGCATTTTAAAGTTGTTCTATGGATGACCCCCCCCCCCCACCGCCCAATATCCCTTACTAAGGAAGCCAACTTCAAACCACACTCTGAGTGGGGGAAGGATCATGTCAATTCTTCAGACAGTTTAAAGGCCTAGAAAGGGTTTCAAGCCCTTGAGGGGTATTTGGATGGCACCAGGCATCCTTTATTCTTAGCAGCCCTGCTCTCAAAGAGCATTGGGCACTCAGACTCTCCCTGAGGGCAGGGGTTTCTTCCCATCCTTTGCCTAGGGAAAGCCGTCCTGGCTTAGGCCCTCCCTTGATTCTTTAGAACATACTACAAACATGCAAATTAGAATTCTTTTAATAGATTAAAAAAAAAAAGTACTAAAATACCCATGTGGTTCTGCTGTATTACTTGCCCAAAAGAAAGTAAGGGGCAGAGTGAAGAATCCCAGTGCACCTCAGTGGGCCCAAAAGTGGGCCTTCCCACAGACTTCTGTCCCTCTTGCTGTTCCCAGCCCCCAATTCCTGCAGCAGGAAACCCCAGTGGTGTGGCCTTGGCACTGGGGAGTAGAAGGCACCTGAAGGGCTGGCTGGGTGAGTGAGGATATGTGACCTTTAAACATAAAAACAACACTGCAGAGTCGGGGAGTAGCCTGTGTGTGGCCCAGGCTGCTGCCAGGCCCGCTCCGCTATGGCACAGGTGGGTGTGGGATGGCCATTCCTCCAGCAGCAAGGAAGCCTGTATCCCAGCAGAATACTTTCTCAAAATCGTTTTTGGTACAAAATAAATGCGAAGTTAAGAGGTGGGGAGCTGCTGAGGCTGGGCCAGCCACCCTCCCCAGATCTCAGATCATGGCGATGCTTTCAGGAGCACAGTTGAGGTGAGTGGAGGTGCTACAGCTCCCGGAGGACTTGCAGGCCCGGCCAGGGGCAGGCTGCAGCGCGGCCACCAGCGTCTCTGAGGAGACTGCCCCAAACTCGTAGCTGAAGGTGCCGTAGAAGATGAGGATGTCGATCACGAACACCCACTCGCACAGGGCTGCCCCGTGCTGCAGCTGAGAGCTCTCGTGCATAAAGAAAACACCGCCTGGCATGGGGCTAAGGAAGTGTTCAGTGGGACACGCGGCGGCTGGTGACAGCCCTGTCTCCCCAGGTAGATAGCTAAGCTGGGGCAAAGAGCCAGGTCTCCCCACCTGGGAGGGGAGGAAGGAAACCGCACTGGGCAGTATTTTCTGGATATGTGTGTGCCAGGCTCTCGCCCACCCCCCGCCCCTCACCCCCATCCCCCCGGGTCTTGGGTGGGAAAAGGCTGGGCTAGAGGAGGAGTTCCTGGCTGCCCTGTCCTGGAAGGATACTGAGGACTAGGGTGACAAAGGCGATGGCTGCCAGCACCATCCGCAGGTAGGCCATAGCCAGGTCCTGGGGGGCAGTGGCCCCATGGTAGGAGAGGGCACAGTGCAGGCAGACGAAGAGCAGCCCGGCGGGGAAGGCCACACCAGTTCCGATGTAGTGCAGAGACTTCGCATGATCCACCTGGGCCCGGAGACAGGGGCTGATCTGTGAGGCAGCCCCCCCGCCCCCTTCCCTCCCAGCCCCTCTCTCCCCACCCTCAGCCTTGAAGGGCTGTCTCTGCAAATGGGGTCAGCCTTCAGGGGACTGAGGGCACCGGCAGGAGCCAGGCCCCGTTAGTAAAAGTTCAAGAGGCAGGCAGGCGGGCACACCTGGAAGTTGCCGACCACCACGAGGCCCGCAGCATTGGTGCAGCCCGTGATGAGCGTTGTGGTGTTAACCCAGGAGTGACGGCTCTGCTCCAGGAGCTGCCCGTAGAGCAACAGGCAGATCAGGACCACTGGGGGAAGAGAGCACAGGTGGGGCCGGCACTGGGGCCCTCCTCCCACCAACTCCCCCACCCCCACCCCCACCCCCGCCAGACACTCCTGAGGGCTGAAAGGGAATAGAAGGGCAGGTAAACTGGGTTTCCTCAGGCTCTGGCCAGCAGGGTGGCTGTGTGGGAGCCTTTGGCTCTTGTTAAAGGAACAGGAGAGAAGTGGCCCCTCTTGCTTTAGCCCTTGGTGGGGTGGGCTACACTGAACAAGGGTTTCCTGGGCCTTTCTGGGAGGGAGGGGTGGGGAGTGGGTTGGACTGGGCTGGCTAGGGGGGCTGAGGGCACAACTCACCCATGAAAGCACCCATGTTGCCAATGAGGCTGAAGAGGCAGCTCTCTGGGGGATATGTGCCACACTTGCTGGGGGTGGGGGGCAAGGACAGAGTGAGAGAGGGGCAGGAGTACTAGCACCCCCATTCTGGCCCATCTGTCTCTTGCTTTATCTGTGCCTGTTCCTTAGCAGGCAAGCCACTGATTTATGAGAAGGGCCAGTTGTGTACACAAACAACGGGCCCCAGGCTGGGCCCTCCCCCAGAGCAGAGCTCATGTGTATGATGGGTAAGGGAGTGCCCAGGATTGCTTGGCAGAGCCTGAGACTCCTTGGACTCCCTGAGATTGTCAAGGCCTGCAGCCAGTCTGGCTTCCCTGGAGCCAGAACCGGGGCTGGGCAATCAGAGGGCTTGAGCTTCAGTCCAGGTGCCTCCACTTACTAGCTGTGTGACCTGGACCGATGACACACCTCAGTCTGTTTTCTTGCCTACAGGATGGTGAAAACAGGAGCTGCCCGGTCATGGCAGGATTAAATGGTGCTATGCACATTGAGCACTCAGCACGGTGCCTGGCACATAGTGACTGGCACGGAGAATTGTTCTTAAGTGATCTTAATACACTCATTATTCCTGAGACTGGGGGACAGGTCTTTGCCTGAGGGACTTGGGTCTCCCTGACCTGCCCAGCTTCCAGACTTTACCTGATGAGGGGGACATCATCCAGGGTGCAGCAGGTCTTTGGGCCCCCTTGTTCAGCGGGGTCAGGAGAGCAGGATTCGTTGTAGGACCTGGTAGGCAGGACAGAGAGTAGCCTGGGGAAAAGGGGGTTCTCCCAGCTTCTGGGCCTAGAGCCTCAGGCCCTCAGAGACCACCCTTCCAGACTTCCCTTGGCAGGGACAGAAGAGCCCACTTCCCAGAACCCGCCTGAGACAGAAGCCAAAGGGGTGAAGGGATGGTGGGAAACAGGTAGATGGGCATGGAGCCATGCCTGGGGAGGGGCAGGCGTTGCCAATGTCAGGTAAGAGCTGTGAGGCCCAGGGTCTCCGTCTGGCTCGCAGCTGCCCCGACCCAAGAGGGAACAGAGATGAAGGGAGCTTTAGAGGGAGGCTGTCTGCAGAGTGCGCCATACCAGTTCTCCACAGGGCACGCGTGGCGGTTCATCACGGCCATGGCATACCTGCGGAGGCAGAACGGTCACCCCACACCCATGGCCCTCCCAGCCCAGCTTGCCCCCACGGACTCTTTTCTCTTGATTCTGGCCCCATTCAGCCTTTGTTCTTGCTGGGGACTCAAGTTGAGGTGGCCCTGAAGCTTGATACCACACGAGAACCCACAGCACGGCCCCACACTCGAGGACCTCTGGAAGTGGCCCTGGATGGAAGGTCTGTCAGGGTCACCCTACTGGACAGCAGTGGTGCCAGCTTGTCCGAAGGGGCTGTGTGCCCAGGCACCAGGCCAGGCTTGGGAGACAGCTAGAGTGATCCTGGGTACCACCCTGGAGCCCCCAGCAGGACAAGGGACTCTGTGTGTGCCACTGAGCTCCTGTTGGGTCCTGGCTGGGCCCTAGCCCTCCTCAGCCTTGGCCCATTTTGTCCCTTAGTCGCCCTCCCCCTCCCCCTCTTTACTCACACAGTCCATAGGCCCGTGATGGAGAATGCTGACAAGCTGACAGGAAGGAGGATCCAGGCGGTCATGAGGGAGGGGAGCCAGGGTGGTGTAGGGGGAAGGACAAGAGGTAGGTGGGAAAGAGGGGGCCGGCCCAGCTACCTTAAGATACTTCGCCAAAACCATCAGCGGCCCAGGCCTGGTGGAGAGAGACAGGTCAAAGTCCAGGGTCCAGTGACTGACCGCAGCCGGTGGGGGAGAAGGTGGTCAACACCTGATTCACAGCGCCCACATTTGGGGCTGAGCCCACGCCAGAACGTGGACACCTTCTGGCCTCCACCGTGGGCCTCCGCGTTCCACCCGAATGCCACCGGTGCGCCCCAGACGCTCAGGCGGGGCCGAAACATCTGGGGGGGGGAGTCCCGCTCCCACGCCGGAGGGACCGGGTTGGGGGAGGGGCTGCAGTCAGGACCGTCCAAGCGGCCGCGCCAAGGAGAGCCTGCGGGCGGGTGCGGGGCCCGGCGGAGCGGCAGCCGCGCGCAGGCAACACCTGACCGCCGGCGCCCCGGGGGAAAGGCGGGTTCGCGCAGGAAGCCCGGCCCGGCCCCCGCCCGCGTGGGCGTACGGAGCCCCCACGGGAGCCGGGAACGCGAGCCTCCCCAGCGGATCCCCCCACCCCGAGGGCCGGGGACACGAAGGGGCCCAGTACGCACCTCCCCGGAGCGCCCCGCCGCCGCCGCGCCCTGCTCGGCCCCGCGTGG